TAGAACAGGTGGGTTAACCTGCCCATGGGACAAGGGCAAAGGAGACCCTCATGCAGCCAAACCGGAGATCTGTCATGCAGCCAAACGGTCCTGTAGCCGTAAAGCTCCCTTCTGGTTGTTAAATGAACAATCGGTCAGGCAGCCAGGCTTCACGCCCCTCTCTCTCCTACTCTCTCCTTTGATAGTGGACCATCTCCCCCAATCCGAACTTAGAATTGAAAATAATTCACCTATTCAAAAAGTTTCATACCTGCACTTAAGGAAATCACCTCAGTAGTGACAGGGCTTGGTATGCCCTCCCCTTAGTGCAGTCGGTAGCGCTACCGACTGCAGTAAGCCTCCATGTGATTCCCTTAAGTGCAGGTGAAAATAATTCAGGGATGCTTAAATCAATGCAAAAACCATGCCCCATTGATTGAGAGCCATGGGCTTACTGAGGTCGGTAGCGCTACCGACCTCCCTAAGGGGGGGGTATGGCATGCCCTCCCCTTACTGCACTGATTTCCTTAAGTGCAGCTGCATTTTGAAAATAAATAGTTTCAATCAGGGTGACCAGCAAGAAAAGAACATATCATCCGCCGAAAGTCCAAACAGTGGTCAGAGACTTGACTTTCCACATGTTCTAGAGAATCATATCCTTGCTTGAATGTGTAGACTGTAGACAGAGATTCACTAACAGCACTGCTGCTGTAAGTTTGTACGGATGGTACTAAAGAGCACATGCTTGTTCCATGCCCTACCGAATCACAACGGGTCCTAAAGAGAGAAAGCTGTGACTTCACGGGGTGCCCTATGTTTGGGGAGTTCAATCCAGACATCCCAGCCTTCTCCCCAACTCATAGGGAGATTTAAACATGTCAAAAATAAGGGAAATGATTTTTTGACTTTGTTAAGTGCAGGGCAGTATACACACAATATATATATATATACAGTACACAGTTTCCATGGGGATCATACCCTCCTTCAGGAACGTTCATGTGGTTGCTGCTCATTGCTGGACGCGCTGTGGGGCGTGAAGCCGGGTCGAAACCGGGTGTTTGAGACGAAGTCCATCGGTGGATTTTCCCAGTAGGTCAGACCAGTTCTTGGTCGATATAGTAGGAACTAGGCAGCGAACGTATGTGATGATATGGTAGAGACATGCAGAAATGGGTGTTTGCTGATGATATGGTAGCTCGACCATCCTGGACATCACTAAGATTCCCAATGCGACCAGTTTGGAGACTGGGACTCCCATGATGTGGCCACTCCTTTGCAATGCTGGGGCCCCACCCTGGGAATGGGCAGGAAACTCTTTGTTACATTTGCCTTGGTCTAAACAAACATAATATGTACATTATACTTGAAAGGGACAACATCGAGGAACTCCAAGCATTCGGATGTTTTGCAATTCTCCTTTTTGTATGTGGTATGTATCGAATGCCATGATCACCTGCTCAAAATACAGAAAATATGGGTGTAGGGTCAAAACCGGAGCCCAAACCCTGGTACCTCACAGCCATATCAGACAAGCATGTTCAGAAATGACGATGATGAGAGGATGATTTGGGAAAACACTTTTATTTTTTTCAGAATGGTTACATTTGTTTGTCTTCTTCGGTGCCCTCTAAACCGGGCTGGTACCTTTGGTGTAACTTCAACTCGGCTTAGTCGCTCGCTCGGAGGGGTCGTTCGTCCTGGGCCGTTCCCCGTCCCTGAGGCGTTGAGCGCGTGTGGTCGGGGACACCAGTGGGAGATGGCGCTGGCACTTCTGAAGCAGATGGGAGCTGTTCAGGTGACATCGGATCGGAGTGGACGGGTGCCATGGTGTGGCGATGGCAAGGCTTATGGAATGAAGGAACCAGTGCAGGTATTTGAACGAATTGGTGTATCTGTCGTGGTTGTTAAGAGTTCTTTAGTCTTTCATGTTACTTTGCGGAATGAATATACTGTTTTTGAAATGGATTTAGGAGCTTCCGGCAGAGGACATTCGAGCTGGGTAGAGGGGAGTCACTTCAAATCTTCAAGACGTGTCGAGAGAACAACCTTTTTTTTCCATCACAACCTGCTTCCTTCGAGCATGCAGTTCTTGTCGCCCAGAGTGTTGAGCACTGAATTGTGGTTGTATAATACATGTTCTAGGTTCAATTGCCATGACCTCCCCCGGATATTGTAACTTACATACTGTAAGTCCTTCCTTAATAGGCAGGGTTGTTGCATACATTTGTAACACATGGCACAGCAAAATGGCTTGGTAGGTACATTCAGTTCAGATCTATGTTTGAGTGAATGTAAGGTTTGGAAATTTGAGAGCTTTTGGTTGGTCTATACTATAGTCTATATATACTAAACAGATTTGCTTGCAAGATTCTGGGTCAAGTCATCCTTCAGTGGATGAAAGAAGGAGCACTTGTCCAAAAGAATTGAATAAACCGATGGTTGCACAGACTTTTTTGTTTGCTGGCCACTGTTTGTGATAGAACCCGCAAAGCATGTTTAAAAAGATAACGATAAAGCCTGCTACGTCCTCCGTATGTTTTCTTTGACCATCTTTAGGTGCAACCCTATTTTGAAGCCACAGCCTCCTGTGCCACAACACGTCATGGCAAAACCATTTACCCCGCGCTTGCACCGCAGGTTCAGCCGGATGTGGTCTCTTACACAGCCACTGCCACGTCCTGCAACCGCAGCCGAGAATGGGCCAAGGCAGGGTCCAGTTTTCCAACCTCGTGGATTCTGGGTTTCCGGCCTTTGTCCTTCAACATGGAGCAGTGTCCGACCTTTGTGCGTCATGGACAACCCAGGAATCCAGGAAACCGGAAAAAAAGCATGGAACCTCATCAACGTTATGCACAGAAGACGGAGTTTGCACGTGAAACCAACTCGTTGTTCGTTCTATGTGTCGAAGAGCTCCAGAGTTGGTGTAGATTTAGCATGTTGGAAGAGCACCAAAACCACTCAGAGACCCATCATCGTCCCTCAAAGTCCCCCGCAACGAACCGGTTGCCCCCCCCTTCCGGGACTTGCAGCGTTTCACCGGTGATGTCTTCACCTTCCGGAAACGCCTCACCTCACCCGTCTGAACCCCCGCTCGCTCGCGCCGAACCACCGCAGGCTTTGGAGCTCTACCGTGGGGCGTCCACCAACTCGGTCGTGCCTGGGCCGAGCATCGGTCGTTCCGATCCGGCGCCGGTGGTGCGAGGGTCCAAATCCATGCGCTCACCCTCCCTGCAGCTGATGCTACATGAAAATAAATGTATGTCGGCCTGGGGCTAACGGCTAACAATCGCCCGCAGTGTGAGTCGGATGAGTCCAAAGGCACACGTGGACCCATTGGCCGTTCAACGTCTCATTAGACGCACCGCCATGCAGACTCGCGCAAGGGCCAAGCAAGGGCCTAGTATTTTACGGGAGTATGTTTCTATCGCATGGATGTCCTCCTGCAAAATGTCGGCCTTTTGACAGCAAAGATAATTTGTGGCTGATTGGTCAACGATAGAGAAATGAAAAGAAGACCATCCGTGGACTATGATCGCAGGCCGTAAGAGGTCCGGAACGCAGATGGTGTAATAGCAGTAGCAGTAGCAGCAGCAGTAGCAGCAGTAGGAGTAGTAGTAGTAGTAGTAGTAGTAGAGTAGCAGTAGCAGTAGCAGCAGCAGCAGCAGCAGAAGTAGTAGCAGTTGTAGTTGTTGTTGTCGTTGTTTTAATGTGTTTGTTTAATGGTGAAAAGGACAGCATCGTTTGGCACGGGGCCGCTGTAGTGGCCAGTCAAGCATGGACAAACAATACAAAAAGAAAACGATTTTTTGTAGGTCGTTTTGATGCATGTCATTTGCTAATTTGAACGAGGTAGTGTTCAGAACTGGTTCCATACCCTAGGGATCCACACACGCTTAATTCGAAGGCGATGTGAGAGACATGTTTTATAGTATCTTTGTTTGTAAGCTTGGAGAGTCCAAGTATCTTCGGAGAAGGTTTGGATGATTTTGGATGTTTGGGGTTGACAGAAGAGTATTGACATACATAAATGCCAATATTCACAACTTATGGAACTCCCAGCTCCACAGTTGCTGGCAGAAATCACAATTTCACTGAGTCTATATTTTGTCTTATGGGTCCGAAAAGCTTGCGCCAAAACCAAAACACATCCGGACAACTACTAATTCTGTTGGTGTGATTCCACCTATACCTTCACCTCCCCCCCCGCAAGACCACTTCCCCTTGCACCCTTCGTGCCTACTATTCACCCTTCGTCTTACGGGTTTCTGTGCCTTTGCAGGTGCTCTATAGTTGCGCCATGAAGGCATGTCAGCTGGGCACGGAGTGGCACCAGGCCTTGCAGCTTTTCCAGGACGAACAAATCGAAAACGGAGCGGCAAGCCGGTTCCGGGATTCGAAAGGGGTCGAACCAGTCCGGAGTGATCGAACCACTTGTTAGGGGTTACAAAGCCCCCTTAAATGCAAAATCCAGGTGCCCATGGCCTTTGTAACCACTATCTTGTTAGTAGATTCAGTGACTGTTTTGGAGTTCCGGTTCGAATACGTCGCATCCCATCGGAGTAGAGTGCCGCGATGAGGAGATGCAAGAGACTTCCTACTGGCCGGACATTGCTGCCTTTAATCCTTGCCGCGCAGCAGGGATGGAGGACATGAGAGACTTCATAGGTTCGTGTTGATGGGAAAAGAGAATGGAAGACATGTAAACAGGTGTGTTAGTTACGTGTAATCAAACTTGGTGAGTTGATGAGTTGTCGGATGCATGTCATTCCTGATTATTCTGTTTTACCAAGAACCGAGTGCGCTTCAAGAGGTGGATGACCATGATGACCTCAACCGTTCACAAGAAAGAACCACTGAGTCGGACGTCGGATGGGTTTTGGTAACGTCAACGGTTGGGGGCGGCCGTTTGCCCGCCCCCACCCAGAGAAGCTATGAACTTCGCAGCTGAAAAACCACTTGCCCTCCTTCTGATAGGAATTGATTCACCTGGAATGGTCATAGAGTCATAGTCTTACTGGTAAGTGTTTAAAACACATGTAGCTGGTTGAAGCTTTATAGTATCTATCGCAGCGTGCTTTGGTTATAATTTTCGCTATTATAGATAATCAATGCCTTTTCGCTGCACTCCGACTCCGACTCACTTCGCAATGGAACATGAGAAAGCACAATGGAAAAACACACGTCCATCGAATGGTCAAAACGAATCATCGTCACAACTCCAGCTCAGTTTTCGCTCCCGAAACACACGGGAAGAGTTTGAGTACACACCCAGACCACACGGGTTGGGGCTGGATGCTGTACACATCGATCTGGGACAGGATCTGTTGGATGCAGCACCATGTTTTGGGTCACATTTGGCCGTGGTGGCTTACGGGAGTATGATCCAAAACCCATTTTTGAGAAGAAATGCAGAGGAAAACCGGTCCTGCAGGTCCGTAGTACCTTTGACCTATTAAATCCCAATGTCAGAGTATTTGCTGTTTTCAATGTGGCGTGCCAGATTGGAGCCAGGAAATCTGATGCATGGTCAATTTATTGAGCCAAAGCCATATTCGTGTGCAGTGTGCATTTTGTTTCATTGAACTTCTATAGAGTTTCAGATTTGTCCTACAGTCTTCCAGTCTTCCTATTTCTGTTCAAAAAATAACACAGATCTCCTACCTCCTCCGACCTATAGATCAACCTTCCTATATATCCCGTGGAGTCCACCACATCGTCCGAAAATCCGAGGTTTGGGTGCTGTGGTGGACTCCAAGCATTGGGAGCAAGCCTTAACGTTGCTGCAGAAGATGCCCGGACTGCCCAGTAATGCCCACGCCCGGGTTCGGCGGGATCGAGCTCGGAACCGGGTCGCAACCTGTCTCCGAGGGGATTCACTCGACCTCTTTGCCGGAAGCTATATTATATATATGTTTGGCTGGTGATCGGATGGGATTTGGTGTTTGTTGGATAGAGGGGTTGTTGTTGTTGTTGTTGTTGTTGTTGCTGGTGTTGTTTGTTGTTGGATATGTCCGCACCAACATGTTCTGAGCCTGTGGGGTTCCATACCGGGTCCAACACATTGCCAAGCGTGTAACCTCGAATGTTCAACAACCCACTGTAGTGCCTTTTTGTCACCTTTGAGTTTCCACTGTAGACCCTTACCATCTCCAGTTCCCCGACTGTCCTCCATCATCAATTGATGTTGCTTCAGACCAGAAAGACTCCCTACCCTGAAAGTAATAGTTATAAGTGGGACAATCACCTTGTGCCTGTTTGTAGAGGAACATGATCATGCAATGCCATCCACTTCCAGGGTGATGTCAGCCAGTGTCACCATCAGTCTTTGCTGGTGTTGATGGGAAAGATCGAACAACTGTCGTATGTCTTGAAGTATTCACCAGTCATTTTTTTGTGTTGTCGTGAGGGAAGGAGTGTGAAGCGAAGTGGGAGTTTAGGCAAATAGGTTGAGAGCCCGACCTCGCAATAACTCGACTCACCTATGGACCATCGAGTATTAAATCCACACCAATCCGCTCTCCTCATGCTCTCCTTTGCTTGGCGGCCTGTCACCGCTCGGCCGGTTTCTTCGCCAAGGCCGTCCTTGGCTTTGCAGCCTAATGGAGGTACTAAGAGGTGGGCCTTGTAGCAGTGATGCCAGTCTTTAAACCTGAAGGACCCTGCATCGGCTGTCCCAGCCTGACCGGTCACCGCGCTGGCAGGATCCACAGGTTCACTATTTCCAATATGCTATATGTCTAAAACTCAATCAAGTCTTGAAGGAACAATTGAAGTCCTACTGAATTACACAGTTTGCATGGTGAGTCATTTGAATGGAAGGAGGTCTGCAGCTGGTTCGGTGAAGATCTGCGGAAGCGCTGTTCGTTACAGTTTGGGCTAGGGATCCTATAACAGCCAGGGGTAAGAGGATCCCATTTCTCTGTACGATGCTCGTGTCGATACAGAAGACCTGCCGTGTCTTTCCGGCGTCAGGGGTCTGGTCGACCAGACCAGGGTGGTGGACGGAGAGTCCAATTCATGTCGTCCAAGGGAGATTCGATTAGAGTACAGCCTAGGAAGTGTTGCATGTGAACGCTTTCGCAGGCTTCTGCTGCGAGCTCTTTCGGATCATTGGCAAGGCAGTCTTGAGCTGCCCCTGGTCGAACCAAGTCGTGGGAGGAATCAAGGGATGAGGGGGGGTCCGACGGGAGACGGGAGTTGTTAACAAACTGAAGTTGAGTGTGGCCTCCGAGTCAAATGATGCGATAGACATTTGTCCAGTCCAAAACAGCCACAAGAGTCTCAAAAGAGGTGCAACATCATCCGCAGCATGATCGGGAGGCAGTGGGTTGGGCAGTCGGTTAGGCCATGAGGCAGACATGGCCGCCACTGCCAGACCTCCAGAGATGACTGCAGAGGCTTCAAGGGGATTGATTGTCCTGCCGCCGGCGTGGCGTACGACCTTCCTCAATGTTTGATTCCTTTCTTCCGCATTCCTGCAATGTTTGCTTTGAAGGATGATGGAAGTTGTGCACTTTCAGGGACATGGCTTTCAGACGGGTCAAGTGAGCCTTGAAGCGTTCGGTATTTTACTATATTTCAGTGAATGCATTAGACATTGCGGATGTCACCGCTTGCATGTGCTGTACAGGCCAAGAAGCAAGAACACACTCTGGCATTGATGAATCAGTCCAGTTGAACAGCTAGATCTCAGGTCTCAAACAGGCTGGTTCCCTGAGCAAACCCTGACGATGATTGAGGCTGGGAAGCTAGTGCTAGCCATCAAGGCAGGCCGCCTGGAGCTGTGGTTCACCCCCAAACTCGTCGGGCTGTCTCAAAGAGGAGATCCACCAGCCTTAGTGACTGAAACTGGTCGGGCTGGATGCCCACGGCAAGGTGTTTGTGGTGTTGAAGACTTTCTACCACGGTGAACCAAGGACCCAGGAGAAAGGATTTTTATTGGGACCTGGAAAGTTGCTGCTTGGGTGCTTGAAATAGTTCAAGTTCTTCCCTCAACAAAAGAAGATATCCCTTGTTTTGCCATGTTTTTACAGGCAGGTGCTGAAGAATACTTGCCCTTCCTGTACCAGTTTGCCGGCTTCCGAATCTGGACTCAGCCACCTCCAGACGACCCCTCTCTTCCCTGCTTTTTTGGGGGTTGAGTCCAATCCTATATATATATATACATATTTGGTCAGTGCAACCCAATATCCATGCCCAACTCACCTGAAACAGAAGCCATTTTAACAACCAAGTGCGAGAGCCTTAGATCTCACCATGCAAATCTGTGTGTGTGCTTTTTGATGTGTTTGTTGCATGGTTTTTGCATGTTCAATAATTGCTCGGTCGCTTGTGCGCTGGATCTTTCTGCTCAGTGGTGCCACAAGTGGCCCCAGAAGAGCCATGGGGGAAGTATTGGAAAGGCCGATCGAGACCGGGACCCAACAGGAAGGATGACTCCGAATCTAGGCTACAGCTGCACTGACTGAACGTCCCTCTTTCCAACAGGAATATCGATATACTCCGATATTGGCTTCCTTGGATGTGATCTTTCCCTTGGACTGCCTTGGTGAGGTTCCTTCCAAGCCTTTCAGCATGCATGAATGGCTACAAGTATGCCCCATCAACAGCAAACTCTGTCCAGTTGCCAGTACATTAAGAACCAGGCACAGTGCACCACATACAAAGCTTAGACAAAGTGTATGAACTCGACTCCCCTAGCAATATCATCTTTGCAAGACGATTTCATTTTGCGCTGAATCCCTGCAAGACTCGCCATGGCCCTTCGCTTGACACGGAGCGGAGTTGTTTGTGCACGGAGAAGATGGACCTGCACTTAGCGCAACTGGTGGGCCTTCTGAAATATGTCCTTGTTTTGGATAGGGAAGAGGTCCTGAAGTAGGTGCTTCACGACCTTTGCAGCGTGGGGCGTTCATTTCAAAGACTGGAACTGCTTAGGGCTGGGGTTACCGACCAACGATCCCTTGTTCCAAATCCCATCATCTTGACAATTTGACCGTATCTTTGATGTTTATATTACAAGGGCTGTGTGATTACACAAAACATGCTTTGACTAGACTATATTTGTATATATTTTGTGGGGTTTAGTTTAGTATCAAACAAACTCTCGAAGGAGGGTGAAGTCCACAGGCTCATGTTGTTTAATTAAAGCCAACTTTTGGGCTACAGATTCTTGACCAACATGAATAGATTGTTGTGCTGATTCTTAGTGGCTGTGGCAGAACATTGTATATCCTTGCAGATGATCATGGCATCTATTTTGCTGTGCCCTTTCGCACGGTTGCATCAGGATTTACGAAGGACTGAAATTATCCTACCATGTTTAAACGTTGACTCCAAAAGACTCCAAGCTTCTCTCTTTTCCTGAGAATTCTAAATAGTTACACGCACCCAGCACTTTGCTTGCATGGGAAGCTCCCCAGTGACTGCCTCCACTGCCCCTGAGGCTTCCCTTGGCTTTGCTTGCGTACTGCCTATCGTCAAAGGCCGAAAACGGAGCCGTTCACCATCGCGGTCCTCGTGTTTCATCAATCCGTGGTGGTGGATCAGTTAGTTTCATCAGGAAGTTGTGTTTTGTTGGCTGCAGATACGCGACATCTATGCACCTTTTTCCAAAGCTGATCATCTTGAGGATGACCATGTACGATTTATACTGGGTATAGTAGTGTACTGTACGTACTATTTTCCGTACATGGACAATGAGAACAACTTTACTTCAGAGAATCCTGCCGAGTTTGGTCACAGCTATCGTTCCGCTCCCGGGTTGGCTATGTTTGTTTCACAGTTGCGTGAGACCTCTTGCAACAGGGCACCTGATAAAATTGAAGCCACGGTTGTTGTGTGTTTATCTTTTTTGCGGCGGCCGGCCACATCGGAGCTTAGCACAAAAAACATGTGTACTCACTCCAACGACGTGAGCTCGCTCAGCAACGTGAGCTCGCTCGGCACTTCATCCTCGGTCTGTTTCGTTCCGAAGGTCGACACCCAAATGATTCGACCCACTGCGCCACTGCCTGAAGTCCATGTGATCTGTGCAAGTCGATGATGTGTGGATCTCGAGACGACGTTCGATCTCCGAGACTGAATGACGTGGACCGTGCCAGGCGTTTGTACCACCAGGCGCGCCGTCGCAGCGGTCTCGGAACCTCAGGTTCCGTGGATCTCAATCCCCAAAGGCTCTGGCAGGTGCTGTTTCTTCGTGGTGAAACATGGAGCCAGTCATCATGTTCAGGTGCTTTTGTTGTGGTGTTATTTTTAATTTGTGTTCTGGCAGATGATCACTTTTACTCACATGGAGCGCTTGGGAATGTGAGTTGATCAAGTCAAAGTTTGGATCAATCCATGCAGGCAGCCTCCGTGCCGAAATCAGATTCACTCCCTTTGATGGGGAAACCATAGAAAAGATCTGAACACTTCCGCTCAATGGACGTCTCCATCCTCAAACGCTGCAAATCTGGAATTGGTTGCTGGTCGAAGCTGCAAGGGGTCTGAATCTGTATGGAGCATGGAATCAAGACCAGGCGTCCTGGATGAGATGGGTCTCATCATACTATACATTGAGATTGTTGATTGATGGAAACGTATTGAGATATCTTGTTATAGTAGTATAGATGGTTTTGTAGAAGATGCAGTAGGTGAGTAGTACTGAACCACGCACATGGGGTGGTCAAGAGATGCTCCATGAAAATCCATGATACTTTTGATCATCTCATCCTTCAATGGGAGGTCTTGGCAAAAAGATGCCACTACAGGAAGATCCCTCAGACCGCCGTAGGGAGTTCCACAGCGGCGACCCGATCGGAAGGTATGAGGTGACAATTTGTGGTGTCCTGCTGTACAGAAGGTTGACCATTCAGTATATTATTGAAAGATGATGACATATTATGTTTAAACTGTTTAACTCGACAAAGACACGGCCAAGCGAACCAGAAAGATTCCACGATTGCAAACTGTTCGAATAGCCTTGCCTTTGTTCGCGCATTTTGTCGATCGCTAGAGAAGTGCTCCCTTTTGTCGGTGAGCTAAAGTGACCATGTTGGACAGGTAGAGGTCCCAAGGGCTCGGAAGCAAAGCCGGATTCGACCCCCCATAGCCGTAGCCCAGGTTCGACCCCCTGTAGCCCTGTTCATTCTACAAAACTCAGGAAACGAAAGAAACTTCAGTCCCAACAAGATTCCGGCCCCAGCTGCTAGAGGTCAATGAAGAAGTCCTTCCAAGAGATCTTCTGGAGGTTTGGAAGGTTTTTAGACCAAATCAAGGGATCACTGATCCGCTGATTCAACGATCCTGTCGGTTCAACGAGCTGCGATCTGACTCAGGGGGCAGCTTGACCAAGTCGCAGACATCAGCTCCGCGAGAAGGCGCCACCAGGGCTGCCAGGGAGGCGATACGGTGTCGGAGATTTGGACTTGGTAGACTCGCAAGGAAGACAGTGTTTGTGAAAGTCGAGTCAAGGAGAAGCAAGGTCTAGATTTGCACCAACCTAAGGCCTCATTAGGACCCATGTAGCCTAGTGCGGAGTCTATTGCTCAGTCGTTTGGGTAGCTAGATGACAGCCCTATCTACTCTTGGGACTAGGTAAAATCATGTCAATGTAGGGTGCACTTGGCCAAGTTCCAGCTGCCCACCAAATCGACAACGCTCTGTCACCACCCTTTTGTTGCGACATGCGGCATGCGTGAAGAAGGTGAGCGCTCCAGGGAGCGACAAACTATCCAGTATGTGGACTTCGCCAGGGCAAGTTGGTGTTGCTGTCCAGGGAGGGCTCCGAGAAAGTCATGCATGGCGCTTTTGCATGTGCCGGACACGTGGTCGCGATTGTCAATGCAGTGCGTGATGCAATCATGACGGAGGGCGGACCCCAACACGAAGCAGCCATCATCCATCATCTTCCGGGTCTGGGGGTCCAAGTCTCAAAGGTAACAGCCCAAAGGAAACCAAACAGAAACAGATGCCTACCAACGTTCGGGGCGGATATTAGTTGCGGTTAGTTGTTTGATTCTTATGTATAGTTAATTAATCCTTGAAAACAAGCTGCACACTTAAAATTGAGTTTAGATTCATTTTCAAGTTACCGCCACTACCAACCCAAACTGTCCGCATCCGTCCACCGTGACACGTCGCGTTTACACCAGCATGTTTGCCTTCCCCAATGGCACGGACTCATGCAAACACACTTTCCACCGAGGTCGCGAAAAACTGCATGGCACAACGACATGACCTTCCGAAAGCTTTATAGTTGTTACCTGAAACTGCAAATTGCTGAATTTTCCTGGTCGTACGGCCGTGGCCATTTTTTTTTGTCATTACGGTTTGCTGTTATATATGTCTGATTTTTGTGGTCATTTCCGGGAAAACGCCAAAATATATTTTGGGCGTTTATTGGGTTATTTTGTGTCTTTTTTTGGCGTTGTTCGGGTAGTATCCATATTTGGGTCAAGTATGACCAAAACAACCAGCGATTTCAGTCATTTGACTGACATTTTTTCTGGTCATTACGGATAAAGCTGAACTTTGACTTTGACCATATTCCCTGGTCATTACGGCATATTCGCAAAATGGCTGACAAAAAGCAGGCAAACGCAACTCCAGGTAGTCTAATGAAGAATCACTAGTTCAATAAGGTGTTTCTTTGTAAAGGGAAATGAAATACCCTTCGATCTGGAGGTTTTTTCTAGTTTTGATACGCGCTTGAAGATGTCTGCAATATTGTATACAAAGCTGTCCTAGGCGACTTTTCCGTTTTGAAGCTC